CTCAGCTCGTCGCGAAATGACGAGGTCAAAGGCTTTGCTGTATCTCCCAAGGCCATGGTGTTGCGATGCGATGCTATACAGATCTTTAGGACGATACTACAGCAAAGATCGACACACCAGAAATGATGCCGCTGCAGGTATCGACGACCCGAGGCTTTGCATCACGGTCAAAGCGAATCGCTAAGCGAAAGCTTAGGTTATTTTTGATCCCGACGTCGTCCCGAAGGGTTCTAAAGGCCCACTTATTCGGTTAGCTTAGAGACTACTGTTGGACATATCAATAGTCCGCCTCCAGGGAAGCAGACTTGCGCGCGCAGAAGTCCCGATCAGCTCATCAGGGGTAGACTGTATGTGTGAACGTTTCAGCGGTGTTGATCTTTTCAGCCTTGCCTAAAGCGACTTCTTTGTTCGTTCCGTCGTTTACACCCGTTGGGGGATCCTCCGCGATGGATTTCCTCAGATCTTGTGCTAAGCATTGGTACTTGCATCGATTTGCACATGGATGGCACATTGCGAGTAAAGACGCGATCGCTCCGTGATTGCTGAGATGCCACCGTTACTATGCTTCTCTGCCCCCGCGGCGATGCGAGGCACGTGAGCGCAGTCGGAATCTGAGTTTCTTCGGCCAGGAGCTAGATTGCTGAGCTAGTCATCTTCATTCTCTGGAGATGTGACGATGTGGATGCTCGCGTAAAGATGCTGTCGATGGACGTCGCAGAGGTCATGCAGGGAGTCGCTGCGTACCGTGGGACTCTCAGGGGCCCGAATCCCCTACCCTCTCTTGGCTGGCGCCCGGCAGATCTCGCGTACCCGCTCGTACACCGGTGTATACCTAGGTACGCTGCTCGGCCATCTTTCTGGGCCGAAGACCGGTTCTGACGGTATATGGCGAGTAACCTCATACTGTACCCCTTGTCGTCTTCGCAGTCTGGTGTTGCGGCCTTGCTGTTCGTCTGCTTGATCAACACTCGTGATGGCGTTCGTGCGTCTCAACACTATCGATAGTTGCTAGACGGGAGATGTTCCCAGGGTCACCCCACGATGCACTGCTGTGCGCTGGCGGGATAATCGACGATCTAGCACAACTGTTGCTAATCCTGTGGTGATGGACTCCAGGAGACAAGGAAAATCCGGTGTGGATGGCTCCGGAACTCACGGAGTGGAGACTGCCTAAACGGCTCGGTCGATCTCGCTAGCGCCCTAAGGTTTGGCTAGGCCCTGGCATTGCTCAGCCTCACCACGCTTCTACTCCTACCGCGATTGAGCGTCAACGGCTGCCCTGTCACCATCTCTCAACTAAGTCCGTCTGCGTTCCTCAGCTGTCTTGCCAATGCTCTGGCCCCTCAGTGTCGTCTGTGGCTTGACGTCAGGCATGTCCCGCCATCTTGGCTTGCGCCTCCGCCACGACTTTGTCATCGAATATGTCGGATTAATCGCGGGGTACCAAACACATGCTCACAAATAACTCAGCGACTCATGCTGTAGGTCAGCTCACTTGTTCAGCTGGAACTAGGCTTCTGCAGAGTCTGAATCAAAAACGCCACCGCAAATAGACCAACTCACTCTCGGTATCGCGAATGCGAAACGTAAACAAGCCGAGCGCATGAGCCACTTATGCCTCCTGAGCCACACCTCGGCCGGAGGCATCTCTATACGGTGTCGCTGCCGAGATCCGCCTAGCCAACTGATGACGGCGAAGGGGTTTCCTTCGGACTTAACAAACCGTAACGCCCATTGCTCAGCGCAACAGCGAGGATGTACTCCCTCTTCCACGCGTAATGATCGACACCCCGGAGCGCATTGTCGTCATCTGCTTGGTAGATGAGATCGCAGGATCTGGGTTTTGGGTACATCCCAAAAGACATTAGCGCTCACATGTTGGGAGCTTTTCTCGGGTTCCAGAGCTGGGCTGCGAACGGTTGCCTCGTCGTCTCGTTCATCTCGTCTCAATACATGCGTAAGGGCTTGTTGCAATTTCCGACTTCGATCGAGTATGGCCAAGACAAAGCTTACCAACGAGGTAGTTGTGGAGTACACTACTATAACGATCCTCTCAGCTTGCGTCTTTGGTGTTCCATGGAGACAACCTACTTGTTCTCTGACCTTGAAAAGCTGGCACGTGGATGCATGACAGTGTTCGCATACAGGGCCGACCGTTCTCTTGATCACTCCGGGCACTTTTGTATCTCCTGGTGTGGCAAACCTTCTTGCCATGATCTATGAAGAGCGAACTGCAAGCGACTGCAGAGCTTCGTGGACGATCCAGACCTCCAACATGTCTTTCTGTTCTGTGCGGATGAGCCAAATGATCAGCACGGCGTGGAGTTGTCTTCGCGAAACTCTACCAAACACATGAGCTGAACAGAACGGCAGCATCAACAAGTCTTGTGATTCCGTATATCGCATTATCCGGAGGCGAGAACGTTGCCTGAACCGAGATTTGAGGCGAACAGAACCCCCGACGGATCGATTAATGTACATTCATATGCGAGGAAATTGAGACAAGTCAAAACGAGCGGAGATGGTTTTACTCTACTTGTCTATACATTTCTTCTTGAAGCCGCAAGCTTAGATCACCGTATGGCTGATGATCCCGGGTAAACCCTGCATATTGATCGGAAGAGACGAGCGAGGATTTACCAGATCGCATATTACCCAATTAAGCGACCCGTTTACCGAGCAAACATATTGCACGTTAAATTACGGAGTACCAGTCGAGACCAAGCTCTGTAAGCACAATACCCCAGGAATTCGGGACCTGGATATGGCTATACTATCCGAGCTCGTCGGTTTGGCTGCCGGTCACGCATCACCTGATCTTCAACTCCACCCCAGGTACGGCGATATTGCCTCACCGATGCTGGAGACTATTTTAAGCGCGTCAATCCGCGGCAGAGCACTATCATGCAAGTCCAGAGCCTCGCTGCACGCAACATGGCAATTAAAGACCCATCCAAGCTTTTCGTATTCTCACTATAATGCTTTTTTGTCCTCTTGGATCATGGTGCCACGCCACCACCGAAAGGCCGCCGAGTGCAACAGACCTCTGACTGCAACGCAGATCACTGCCTTTGTAACTTGCTGGCCTCCATTCATCTTGAGTTGCTCTTGGTCATAGTCTCGTATTGATCATATCGTCTAGATCCCGATTTCGGCGGTACCAAATCATTCAATCTAAGAAGCAGCTCAACTACCCTGGCTCAGTGTTTAGATACCGTTGTCTTAATACCGAATTACTCCTCCCGAAACTAAATTTGGGAACTGGACTAGCTCTTTCCAGGGCGCATTGTCTCCAGACTACCACAACAGCCATGTCGGAACATATTCGAGGCGGCATAGCGAGGCACTGCACGGCATGATGGTCTAAAACCGCGAAAAGATGTGCTTTATAAAGCATGTCTCCATGCCTTCTTGTTGAAACCCATCGCAGATCAACAGCCTCCGCTACCAACATTCACTTCAACGTCCACCACTACCAACAGTCTTTGTCTCCGCACAAGCAAACATGCACGCCAAACTCGCTGCTCTCCTCCTCCCGGTCCTTGCCGCGGCCAACCCTCTGCCCCAGACTACTTCTGAGGATGCTCCTCCCGCAGAGCAGATCACTATCGTTGACACGTCATACTCTGGTAACGGATGTCCTCAAGGCTCCGTGTCCACCAGTACCTCGACGGACAAGACTGTGAGTATCATCCCAACACTTCCATACTGGGCTTAGGGGACGGATGTAGTCTTACTTCCGCGATCCATGGCACTACATACCCCCAAAGGACTGGAGAGTCGACATGGTAAGGAAATCAGCTCACACTACAACCAGGTCATCACTTATGGATTCGATCAATTCCAGACCTACATCGGTCCCGGCACTGTACCAGCAGGTAGGATTGAACCTACATCCCTCAAGGAAAACAAAATACTAACAATCCTCCTCCAGACCGCAGCAAGAACTGCCAGCTCCACCTGAACTTGAAGTATCCGGGCGGCTTCCAGTACGCCGTTGTAGACGCCACCTACCACGGCTGGGCGCGTCTCGACGAAGGCGTAACCGGCAGCTTCATCACGACCTACTACTTCTCGCAAGACGCCGGCAAGACGCAAACCACGCGCATGTCCGCCGTCGGCGGCGGCGCTCTCCTGACCGGCCAAGTCTACACCAAGCAAGACAGCGTTGAGACCACCGCTACCATCTGGTCGCCGTGTGGCCAGAACGGTATCCTCAACATCAACAACAGAATCTCACTTACGAACAAGAAGTCTGATCAGGCGGGTGAGATGAGCAACGATGATGCTACTGTTGCTTTCACCCAGCAGCTGCATGTTGCGTGGAGGAAGTGCACACCGACTGGATCGGGTGGCGGAAGTGGTAGCGTTATTGGCATTGGAAGCCCCAGCGCGGATATCGACTTTGAGTAGAACGTGAGTTGGAGTGAGTGATGAGATAGTGGGTGGTGGAGTGGAGGTGGTTAAGGAAGGACAATGATAGGGTTGGACTTGTAAATAGTCGGTTACGATGTTTCTGTTTAGTTACAAATGTCAAAGCAGTTGCTTTCTGCAAAGGACACTCGGTGACGTGATATAGAAGACTTTCGTCTGCCCCTCAATATTGCAGTGGCCGCAGAAGGGTGAGATTGCTCGTGCCGTCAATACTTCTTTTTCTGAGAAGACCTGATTGGATAGGTGCATACGACTTTCGAGGTCCAGAGGTATGAGAGATTGATTATCGTGCCTTCTTTACCTCCAACTGAGGCATACATACAAAGCTAGTGATATCATGCATTAAACCGAAGAAAGATAGCAAAGTTTCCCTCATCCAGCCTGCAAAACCCTGCAGCCCGATTGACACCAAGCTCAGGCCCCAGTCCAACACCAACCTCGTAGTCTCACGATATGGCCGTTCCACATGCAACCAAAACACTTGCTTCCCCATAAATCATCACGATCCCCAGAAGAAACCCACTAGTCGTACAAGAAGCCACCCAATATAAGACCGAAACGTAGCACTACCGCGAGATGCGCCGATCCTGAATGGAACGCAGAACGTCGAGCCAACCACCATCGTCAACATCGCCGTCCCCTATGTATGCGACAAGAAAGTATCAGGAAACTGAAGAAAATCAATAGGTTGCCACTAGATACTTACCATTGTATGCAGCCATGTTTGACGAGGATCCACCCCCATTAACCACGATTGGGTTGCTATCGACAACATGTACTGCCAAGCCGTTGCCTGCAGACGTGACTGGTGGGTCGGTAGCAGAGCTACGAATCCGGATGAGCGTGATCCGTATCCGATAGGTACCAGCCTGGCGAATGACGAGCTCGGGAAAGCGCATGTAGCCTACGCCATGGGGGTCGGCCATGTCCATGGAGGCAATCGATCCGTCTGCTTCATCATCGTTGAACGGGTGAATGGAATCGAAGACACGCCCAGTGAGCAGCGCATTGAGAGCATTCGTGTCCACAGATGCTGGAGTGTTTGGACCAGGTACCAGGGCGGCGACAGCAACCAGATTAGTCGAGTCCGCAACCGCTTCATCTGTGTCCGCGTTGGTGGTTCGTAATCGCACGACGATGGATCCAGGCAAAGTCTGACCAACCCGAGCAGTTCGTGGTGGCTGCACTACGATGTCCATGGCGTACCGGATCTCTTCCGGAGACAGGGAATGCTGGTCTGACCTTGATCTTCCTGAAGTGCGGGCGTTTCCGGAGTGATGTCTTGAACGAACGGACCTGCTTCCTAGCGCCCTTGGTCTTGCGACGTCAGCCATCGAGGATGTGGCGTTGGCTAGCTGATGATCAGTCTCGCCGTTGAGTAATCCTGCGATACGAGCGGAGCGTCTTAGTGACGCGTGGCTGCGGCTGTTTCCGACGGTAGTGTGTCGCGAAGTAGTTCTGGAATTGGATGCTGATGGAGGGTTTGACGTATCTCGCCGAGAAGATGCGCCGCGGGTGGGATGTTGGTTTCTACCTCGTCCACGTCGTGGGCCCCTTCGCATCTGAAGAAGGCTGAACCTGTTTCTCTTAGTAAAGTTTCATTAAAGACTGTGAGTCAGACAGATGATAGCTCTGCTGCTATGTTGTGGAGTGTTGTCTTTTGTTGATGAGGCGGCCGGGAAATGATGTGGGAAAAGCAAGGAAAGTAACAAGTTGTTGGTGTCCAAGTTGACGAAAAGACTGTGAAGAGACTCCAACATATGACGAGGCCTTATATCAACGATAGGCGGTGTTGGATAGTAAAGATATAGGAAATGAAGTCAAGCCACGAGTCAGACCTCTCATCTAAACTCGCTTGGTGAACATGGGGCCGCCCCTCCATTAGGATGACGATGGATCGTTCGGTGCAGTTGAACCCAATACTAGGGCCCTTTAATCTCATAGCCGCCTAGCAGAGAGCAAAAGTGCAGCAGCAAGCGATATTTCGACGGATATAGGCAGAGGTTGAGGTTTGGAAGTCGCTCGCCAGCCCGCTTAGGCCCCCGGTACTGCCCCACATCCCGGCGGCCCTCCAGTGGAGAGACAGCCCTTTGCGCCTGCCTCTGCGCTGTTAATGCAGCGATGCGGCTAAAAGGCGGGCAGCTATCCATGCGCGGAGGTCGGAGAGACGCGTACAACAGCGGACAACGGACGGCCAGAGGAGGAAAAGACAGCGCGGAGTGTGTGGTAGAGATGCAGCAGATGGTGTTGCAGGGAAATTGACGAATGTGATGCGTCACAGGAACCCGGCCGGCCATGTGGCAACAGGGATGTAGGATAAGGACAGGATGAACGAGCAACCAAGCGAAATGAACTGCTCACCTTCTGCCCTGTCACTCCCGCCCGCCTGTTCCTGAGCGTGTGCGGGATATTATTTCGCCGTTTGCTGGTGGCGTGGTACGATGACGCTGCACTTCTTGCTGTGCGAGTCGTGCCTGGCGTGACTTGACAAGGTAATGCCAACAGCGGCTGTGCCTCTATCTGACTGTTGCAGCGTCGATATTCGCTGGGCAGGGGCTTCTTTGGGGCCTCTAGAAGGCGCCGGCTTTGTCAGAGTCCTGGGACGTTCTATGCTGCTGTTGTATATTAGCCATGCTTTGCCCACACAGCCAGACATGTCTTCTCTCATCCAACACCATTGCTGCTTTGCATTGACGACAGAACCGCCAATGGGGCGCCATTTTTCCAGGACCACACCCTCTGCAATCAATGGAGCACTTCCGACGTACCTCTCCTTGGCTGCCGTGTTCGACGTCAAGCACTATTCTATGCACACGGCTGGAGACTGGAGACAAGCCTGAAAGCGGCTTCGGGATGTCGTGGACCGTCGTCGATGGCGGAGGAGATGAAGATTGTCTCACTTGATGAAGGAGTCTTGAGCCAATGCCTTGGACTTCTGGGCGGCAGTCTGCTTCCTGTAGTCAACCGACCAGCTCAGAGACGGTGAGTACGCCGTCTTATACAGACTCCTCGGACTGCCAGCATTTAGAAGACTTTTACCTGTTGCAGTGGGCTGCAGGTCTCTCGTGGCTTGCCGCCCTGCGCTATTGGTCTGAGCTGAGTGTCGCCCAGTTCCAAAACGCGTCCGCCTGCTTCCATCTTTTCTAGCATGGTGATTGACGCCGCCCCTGTGCGTGTTGCGCATCGGCTTAGCGTTGCCGCCAGCATCATGTCGCCCATGGAGCTCTGGAGTATGGCGTTCTTGATGTGCATCTCCCAGCCAGTAGCGCCGGTCCGCCCTACGGCTAGCATCGCACGATTGCCGATCCGAGGCACGACCACGGACCAACGTCATGGTATAGCTGCGTGGCCTCCGCCAGACCACCAATTACCGGCCCATCGCCCTGGTATAAGCCTGCGTGACACGCGCCGCTGTACTTTGCGGCATCGCCATCAGCTTGGCGAAAAAAGACAAGTTCTTACCTCAGGCCTCAGCAAGGACATTGTCCGTGCGCGCCTGCCCTTTTGGCAGCCACCTCCAGCTACCAGGAACATCACTTCCGCAAACCCCTTCCGAAGAACTCGATGCAACTATCGGTGCCATCACCAACGTGCTCCGAAGTTCTCCGCGAGTCGATGCGTACCAGGATAGCAATACTCGGAAGCTGACCCTCGTATTACGAACGGCTACGTGCAGCTCTCACATGGCATCTTAGACATCTGTCAGCTTCATGGAGAGCTGTTTACCCAGCTTTACCGGATCGTGTAACACGCCCTACCTCGATTTTGCCGTCCTCCCGGTTTGTCTTCCGAACGTTGTTACGCAAACCGGTTCTGCAGGGTTCCAAAAGGAATTTGCCGCACCCCCATCATGTGTGGCCTTGTGTACAAGATCTGCTCACACGAGATTTTCATCATAGCCGATATTTGGCTTCGAGTTAACACTATATTTGTCACTCGTATATTCTTGAGCTCTGGATCATCGATGACTTCGAGACTTCTTACTTCTTAAGACCCTGGTCCGTGGTCTAACATTCCCTTCAGGCTTTGAGGTTTTCCAGCACGACCGGTCGTTTGACAGGGCGCCCCTGTCCCTCACCTCGTCCCGCCTCTTAGTGGCCGCATGCGATTTGCGCAACATGCGCGAGAGCTTGGGTAGGAAGGACGGCAAGGACTGCTCACTTTAGCGCCGTATGCGGTCTACTAAAGACTTGATTTGTCGAACCGTGGAGGCTGAAAATGATGTGGTGCTTTCGCGGAAGCGGATTACAGCGACCGGAGCCAGATGACTGGACAGGCTCTTCCCTATCACGAGATCCGACAATCTGGGACCTACTCGTCAACTTGACCGCTAGATGCAAAACCTCGCCGAAGTTTTGTCCAGGTCCCACTTCATCAATCCTCTTTCAGACGCTTGCGCTTCCCTTACTCCATTTCGCTATTACAAAGCTACACGTTCATAACAGCCACTTATCGATTACCTTGTCGACCACTCGATCGCTGCGTCCGCGTCATGCGTAAAGCTCAATGCATGGTCCTTCTCTCACGACTGAAGTTCATAGCTATCGAGTGGCTCATCAGCAATTTGTTCTCGAATCTACCTCATCAGAAGCGATACTCGGGATGTACTGCTCATATCTGTAATCGACTCCGTCGACCCCAACGCATGCGTGATCAAACCATAGCCATGTGAAATGATCGCATGGGGTGCCGCTCCCTTCCCGAGGAGAAGCAAACATGGAACTTCCGCATCGGGATGTTCGTCTCAGATGACTTCCAGATTACACGATTCCATCTGCATCAGATCTGTCTGCAAACCCAGGCATTCCGTTGACCATACAGTTGGGAGCGCCCCGAAGCCACTTCAGAGTCGCCTGGATCCCCATGCGAGTATGTCTCAAAACATCCAGAGGTGCGGAGATTAAATTCCTGTACGACGTTGTGCACATCGCCGCTCTTCCAGGTACACTGCGACCCTGCGCATGCAAGAATAGATTCTGGGTTCGAGATCGTACAGGCTCATGGAAGTTCTAGCGCCTTCAGAATCTGCCACCGGCTTTTTACATAGGCAATGAGCAGAGATCGCGAACCACGCCCACACAGCAGCCAATTCCACTGTCCGCGGACGAGGTCCTAGTAGCCAGTTCCTTTGGATCTACCCAAACAGCTACACAGGATCAGCCGCTAGCATGAGCGACGTCAGACTGTGAGAAGACCGCACCCATGTCTTCACGCTGGTGTGTGTTCATACAATCGAAACACATCGCCTCATTCAGTCAAGGTCAAGGCGGGCTCCAGAGATCTCGAATCAAAGGCACTTGAGCCCGGGCCTCATCACTCCATCCGGCATACTACCTACCAGCCCCTGCCGGCGCATCATGCGTAACTGTGGACGAAAGCTCGCATCACTCAAGCGCTCCTGCAGCCTGCCGGGTTTGACGTCTGCAGGAAGTTTTGACATCAAGTAGTCAGTACGTCCTCAATCTCAGCCGCTTCAGATTGCGCGTCAATCGATCTTGTAGAGAAGCTTTAACATGCCGCTAATTAGGCAGAATCTATCTATCAAGTCTACTGCAAACAGCTATTTGGTCACGCTGGCAAGCACCAAGGCTGTTGATGTTGCGGGTATCGAACAAGGCAACATCTTTGGAATCGCGACTCAAGAGAACGCCTCAGTCGGATACAGCACCCACGACCCCATGCGACTACCCGAATTTCTTCTTTGCATCAAAACGTGTAGTAACATCTATTGAGAGGCGTTTGACGGCTTATGGGTACCACGTAAGACGTGAGATCGCGGTACGCGACACAAAACTCCGACTCTACGGGTCCATCTACGTCAGTGAAAGCGCTAGTCATAGCTTGGTAAGACCAAGGGCGCGCGTGCTAGGTACTACAGTGCAAGACGGGGCTTCTCGTTGATATTTGTCTCTACAGCTACTGCCACAGTTTTCATCGTCCTCTTCTTAGTGCGCATCCAGCGGTCGGAGTCAGCATCGACGCGTGCGTCCACGGGAGCGAGTTTTACATTCTGTGGTGTTTGATGATATGCCAAGGAGTAGGAGTCGCAATGACTTGCTATTGAATTCTGGGATCGGAAGCGAAGAACTGGTCTGTCCCAATCAACGTGTCCGTTCAACGTTTCAATGCGCTCTTCACGATACTTACAGCTATGTCGTGAGTCGATTATATTCATGTGTAGAACAGTTAATACAATAGTACGACAAGGATACGGCTGTATAAACATTGCGACGCGCAAGCAATTCTCACGACACTGCAACAGATTTGAGGTGTGAATCGATTTTACAGGGCAGAAAACGGCTCCTTCTCGGGGCCACTGGCTGCTTGCGTCATG